GACTGAGTAGTTGAACCGGTGGGCTCAGGACCATGGTTGCAGGGAACATCAAGCTCAATTGGCATAATATACTGCACAAAACATTGTTCCACCTCCTACTTTGGTGAGTAGTGAGTGAGATCTTAAAAGCTTGCAAACAGCCATCTAGATGCTATAACAATGGGTCTCTCCTTGTCCAGAGCAAAGAAGAATGAAGAAAACCAAAGATTCATGGAAAGAATTAGTCCTCATGACTGGTACACCATGCAATCTGCAGCCTATCAACTAAGACCAGAACTAGATGGTGCCCGGCTACCATTGTCAACCACTCGGAAGGGGATCTATGTAGGAGATCCTGGATAGAGAAGGAGAACAATGTGGAACAAAACTTAAAATCATTTGGGGGGGAGAAGAGGGGGACCAGGTTTGCTGGTCTGATAGAGCCTGGTGGAACCACTGAGACTATGGCCTCTAGCTGCCCTTCAGGTCTGGAATTAAACCTACACCTGTGGCTTCTATCCAAACAAAAGACAGGCATATGAGTTGAACATTTACCTGAGGTAGATACACTCCTTGGAAAGAATGATCATGGGAGAAAGAAGGGCTGTATATGCCTAGGGGGATGGCTCAGGGGGCAGGAGGGCATGAAAGGATGGACACAGGGTAACTATGGGGAAGAAGTGGGAGTGGGGCTGTTGCATTGGGGTAAATCATAGTCAATGTCATGAGACAACGTGTATGTGAACTGTGTATGGGAAGTGAATTTGCTCTATAAATTTTCACCCAAATAACAATTTAAAAAAAAAAAAAAAAAGGGAGGCTTACTGAGAGCTAGAGTCAAGTGCTCTTGGAGGAATCATTTATGCCTTTATGATTAAGAATATTCAGACTTGCATGCTAGAGATTTCCCTAGGAGTATATGTGTCCCTGTATTGAGATAGCCTGAGTCCTTGGTAGGCTCCTCGGCCACTTTTTCAAATCTATTCCACCTGCCAGATCCAGAGTAGCTTCCTAGGCACAGCCTTTAATGGCCCCCATTACACTCTTGAATTTAATTTTATAAAATAAGAGACTTTAAAGATCATTCTGTCCAACCCCCTTGTTTTATAAGGGGGAGGAATCTGAGATACATATACTTGGGAATAAGCGAGGCTCTAAGTCTTTGAAGGGAAGATGGCCTGGGTTGAGATCTAGACTCAACCATCACTAACTGTGGGACTTAAGGATCATTGATTCAGTTTCCTGAGACACATGTACTTAACTCTAAACTGGGGGTGATCCGACTGCCCTGCTCAGTATGTGCATAGCATGCACCCACCTGGCAGGAAGTTTTGTCAATATCATCACCTCCACCATGGTCTTTGTCTTGGCCCTTGGTGATCCAGAACCAGAGCTCAGACCCTTGTCTCCAGCCCACCTCATTGGAGATACCCAGACTGTGGGCAGAATCCATGCCTAGTCTTATTTCCTTGTGCTATATTTGCTCAACATGCCAAAAAAAAAAAAAAAAACCCTGCAGTCTCTGCTCTTCACACAGTCCAGAGATTGCCCTGCATCCAGAGTTGGCTTTTCAGAGCCTCCAGAATGATCCAGCTCAATGCTGCCTCTTTTGTGAAGCCTTATCAGCCCCTTCTTCCCTGGCCTGTGAACTCCTATGTTCAGTATACCTTTCTGATGGGGCAAGGACCACATTTCCTTCAATTTTGTGATTCACTAAAGTCTCAATAATGAGTAAATAATCAGAAGTATGGTTTTCAGAAAGAATGTATAATCAAGTGAGATTTCCCAGGAATTCAAAGCTGGCTTAACAACTGAAAATTGGGTAATGTAATACACCACATGAATAGACTAAAGGACACACACTACATAATTATCTCAATAGACAGAGAAAAGGAATTTGACAGAATTCAATACCCATTCATGATAAAAATAAAAACTCTCAACAAAATAGGAATATGAAAAAACTATATCAACCTGATAAACAATATCTATGAAAAAATTATAGCTAACATAATTTGTAATGGTGAAAAACTGACTATTTTCCCTCTGATATCAAGAACAAGATAATGATTTCTCTTCTTTTTGTTTTCTATTCAACATTGTACTGCAGGTTCTAGCTAGGAAAATTAGACAAGAAAAGGAAATAAAGAGCATCCAGACTGAAGTGGATGTAGTAAAACAATCTCTGTTTGCAGTTAACATGATCATGTGTATAGAAAATCCAAATGAATCTGCTTAAAAATATTAAAGCTAATGAACAACTTCACCAAGTTTACAAAATATAAAATCAGTATAAAAAATCCAATTATATTTCCATACACTTGCAATATAATCCAAAATGAAATTAGGAAAATAATTCCACATTGTTAGGAATAACAATACTTAGGAATAAACTAATAAAAGAAGTGCAAAACCTGAAAGAATAGTCTTTTCAACAAATAGTGCTGGGACAATTAGATATCCACATGCAAAAGAATGAAATTGAGCCCCTACCTCACACCATGTAGAAATACTAACTCAAAATGGATTGAACATCTAAATATAAAAGCTCAAATTATTAAACTCTTAGAAAAACCCATTGTTATAAATCTCTATGACCTTAGATTAGGCAGTGGTTTCTTATATGACGATATATATATGTTCTTATAAATAACAAATATAAAAAAATATATATAAATTAGACATCATCAAAATTAAAAATGTTTGTGCTTCAAAGGAAAGCATCTATAGAATAAAGACAACTCACAGAATGGGAAAAAAAAATACTTTCAAGTAATATATATGTTACGGAGTTCTGGTAGCATAGTGCCTAAGGTATTTGACTGCTAACCAGAAGGTTGGCGATTCAACCTACCAGCCACTCCATAGAAGGAAGACTGGACAATATACTTCCATAAAGATTTACCACCTCAGAAACCCAATGGGGGTCACTATGAGTCAGAATCAACTTGATGGCAGTAAGTTTGGTTTTTTGGGGGAGAGGGGTGGTTAATATATCTGTTAAGGGATGTGGGTTCTAAGTCTCCTAAGAACTCTTACAACTCAATAATAAAAATAAATAAATAACTCAATTTAAAAATGAGCAAAGGATAAAACCAAAAACCAAACCCACTGCCATTGAGTTGATTCCAACTCATAGTGACCTCCACTGGGTTTTCCAGCTATGAATCTTTATAAAATAGGTTGCCTTATCTTCCTCCCACAGAGTACCTGGTAGATTTAAATAGCTGACCTTCCAGTTAGCAGCCAAATACTTTACTCACTATGCCACCAGAGCTCCTTTTATAAATGGTCAGTGAGCACATAAAAAGATGTTCATGCCGTTACCATTATTGTTGTTGCTAGGTACCGTCTATTCAGTTCCAACTCGTAGTGACCCTGTGTACAACAGAATGAAATACTTCCCAGTCCTGTGCCATCCATAAGACCCAGCAATTCCAGTATTATGTATAAAACCAAAAAAAAAAACAAACTCACTGCCATCAAATCAATTCTGACTCACAGTGACCCCCTCTGGGTTTCTGAGGCAGTAAATCTTTACAGAAATAGATTGCCCAGTCTTCCTTCCATGGAGCTGCTGGTGGATTTGAACCATGAACTGTCTGGGTAGCAGTCAAAGGCCTTAGGTACTATGCCACCAGAGCTCCTTAGTATTAGGTGTAGACCCAAGAAAAATGAACATTCATACAAAAGCTTATACACTGCTGTTCTTGGCAGCAATATTTGTAATAGCCCAAAGTAGAAACAACCCAAATCTCTGTCAACTGATTAATGGATAAATAAAATGTGATACATCTGTACAACGGAATATTCAGCCATACAAATGAATAGAGTCCTGATACCTGCTACAACATGGATGAACCTTGAAAACATTGTTAAGTGGAAAAAAAAAAAAAACATAAAATTTGACCTCATATTGTATGATTCCATTTACATGATATATCCAGAAAATGCAAAACCATGGAGAACAGAAGTAGATTGGTAGGTTGCCTAGAACTGGGGTGAGGAGCTCAGGTGGTATAGTGGTTAAAGGATCTGGATGCTAACTAAAAGGTCAGCAGTTTAAACCCCACAGCCGCTCCACAGAAGAAAGATAAGGCAATCTGCTTCCATAAAGATTTATAGCCTTAGAAACCTTGTGGGGCAGTTCTACTCTGTCTTATAGAGTCACTATGAGTTGGAATCAACTTGCCAGTACTGGGTTAGGACAGGGACAGGGGAGGGGGCGTGGCTGAGTCATGGGCAATACAAAGTTACTGTTCACAGTCACTTCCTGCTGGAGATGATCAAAGTGCTTTAAAATTGATCGTGATGATGTCTGTACATCTCTATGACTACTAAAACCAGTGTACATGTGAAATGGGTGAATTTTATGGTATGTGGATTATATCTCAATAAAGCTGTTATTTGAAAAAGGGGGGGCTATATAACTGTAATTTCAATGTTTAACTCATATAATTTTATTTAGGCATTAGGTTAAGGGGCTCCATTATCTGTGAAAGAATTGAAGATATAGAGGACTAAAGCCTGCCTCAGTGTGAACACACATTTGCTGAGCAAAAGACTCGGAGAACACTGGGGAAAAAAATAGAACTTCCTCCTAGAAAGATAAAAAACAAACATTAGAATTCTGCTGTGCAATATGATAGTCACTGGGCAAATGTGGCTATTTGCATTTAAAGTAATTAAAATTAAGTAGAACTTAAAATTCAGTACATATAGATATGTTTCCAGAATTTAATAGGCAAATGTGGCTGATGTGTACTGTATTGGGCAGCTCATATTTCTATCATTAGAGAAAGTTCTGTATAGCAGTGCAACATTAGCTGTTCTAAGTATTGTTCTGTTGTCCAGGTATTATTAAGAAACACATGAGAGAAAATCAGGCACTCAGTACAGCTTGAAGCAAATCTCATTCTAGGAAGTGACTTTGTTTGTATGACTTTGTTCACAGGTGACACATTAAATATTTGTCAATTTGATTAGTGAATACATAAAAATCTTTTCTTTCCTTTATTCAGATTAACCATTCTGATGGTAAGAAGAACAGATATGCTGGCTGGCCTGCAGAGATACAGATAGAAGGCTGTATACCACGAGAACCAAGCTAACGTCACACTTCCTTAATAAACATGTTTTGTACAAATGTTGCACAGAATGGCCCAAGAATCATTCATACCACTTTAAGTCCTACAGTCAATATTTTATAAAGATTTTGGGCTTTTCTTAAATTGTTTTGGTTCTCTAATTCTGCTATAGCAGACATAACACAATGTATGGGTTTAACAAACAGGGATTTATTCTCTTACAATTTAGGAGGCTAGAAGTCCAAGTTCCAAGGGACTGGGTAAAGGCCCCTCCACCTTGGGCTTCAGCTTTGCCTCTTGCTTCTGCCCCACTGAAGCTGGAGGCTTCTCTTAACTCAGGAAGCTACTGGCTGCTGAGGCTGACAAACCCAAGATCAACAAGTAAAATGCCACAATCCCAAGCCATTTTACTTGTTGATCTAGTTGGCCACTAGTTCAAGTCCAGAAACAGTCCCAAGATTGGCAGGCAACATGGCAGACTGCTGAATAAAGACCACGAAATGCAGGATCCAAGCGTGCCAAAAAAACTCCAGACCATTCCCTAGGTGTCACCATCCTTAAGGCAGCTACTCAGCTGCTCACAGCATATTTCACCATGGAGTTGATTACCAATCTCATTATAGGGAATAACTACATCCAGCTGCCCATCCACTCTAAACCAAGCCCAGCCAAGTTGACATACAACCTTTACTACTGCATGAACCAACCAATATTTGCTAATGATACGAATCTTGGCACAGTATTTATATAATGAAGGAGGCATTGGTGGTTTCATAGTAGAATTCTCGTCTTGCATGCAGGAGATCCAGGTTCAATTCCCTGACAACGCACCTCATACACAGCTCAGTGAAGGCTTACATATTGCTGTGATCCTGAATAAGTTTCAGAGGAGGAGCTTCCAGACTAGGAAGAAAGGCCTGGTGATCTACTTGCAAAAAATCAGTCAGTGAAAATCCTATGAACCACAATGGTCAGATCCACAACCAACCATGGGAATGGCACAGAACCAAAGAGTGTTTCTTTCCACTGTGCATGGGGTTGCCATGAGTCAGGGGTCAACTCAACAGCAGCTAACAACAGTTTATATAGTGAAGATATTGATATGTTACATTCTAAAAGGAATGGGACTTGCTGGAGGGGATGAAGTGATTTAATGTAGAAAGGAGAGGGCTGGCGGAAATAACTGCTGCTTGCCCAGGGTGCAATTGTATTGCAATCAGACAAAAGTTTGGCCACTGCCTGGTTCAGGGAGCTCTCCTGAGAGATAACCTTTATTTCCTTATTGCAGGCACACCCTAGGTGCTGACAGTCATCTCAGAAGGAATGAGCAAGGGTAGAGAGGGCTTAGCAACCTCCTCAGTTGACAGTGATAGCTACTGTGGGTTCACCCTGAGGATGATGGTGACTGTTCATGTCAGACTTTCCAGGAGATACATCATTAGATAAGCTATTCAGACACTCCACCTCAATGCAACCATGTATCAGAGGATGTGTCTGATTGGGAGCTAAGAAAATAAGGTCATTGGGCACAGGATAGCTGCCAAGCATGGTCCATTCCAACTTCCTTCCCGAGCCAGGCTGCACAGGACGCCATGCTGCCCCAGAAAAGCTTGGAGACTGTGATGCCAGGTTAACACCACCTCCCTGAGTCTCTAGTTTCTTCTCTGTACAATGGAGGAGTTGGAATAGATGAATTATTTTCAAACATTCTTATCAACAGGGCTCCTTTTAAAACATACTAGCACCTGGCACCCTGAATTTCAGCACCCCTGAAGCAACAAGCAACCCCAATCTGTGGTGTTCAACAGCATTGATTTTTGTGGATATTACCTATGTTACAAAAATCGTCACAACTGGACTAATAAGCAACATCACAATAAATAGAGAAAAGATTGAAGATATGAAGAATTTTTACTTGGATTCACAATCAACGCCCATGTCAAGAAATCAAATGATATATTGCATTGGGCAAATCTTCTGCAAAAGACTTCTTTAAAGAATTAAAAAGCAAAGATGTCATTTTGAGGACAAAGGTGCACCTGCCCAGAGTCATAGTATTTTCTATTGCCTCATATGCATGCAAAATCTGGACAATGAATAAGGAAGACCAAAGAAGAACTGATACATTTGAATTATGGTGTTGGTGAAGAATGTTGAATATACTGTGGACTGCTAAAAAAACGAACAAACTGTCTTGAAAGAAGTACATCTGGAATGGTCCTTAGAAGCAAAGATGGTGAGACTTTCTCTCACATACTTTGGACATGTTAGCAGGAGGCACCAGTCCCTGGAGAAGAGCATCACACTTGGTAAAGTAGAGGGCCAGTGAAAAAGAGGAAGACCCTTAACGAAATGGATTAACATAGTGCCTGCAACAGTGGGCTCAAACATAGCAATAATTGTGAGGATGGCACAGGGCAGTGTTTCATTCTGTTGTATGTGGGGTTCTTTGAGGCAGAACCAACTTGACAGTACCTGTCTTAGGCTAGGTCCTTTAGAGAAGCAAAACCAGTAAAGCTGAGAAAGAGAGAGATTTATCTCAGGGAAATGGCTCACACAGTTGCAGGGGCTGGCAAATCCCAAGTTTCTAAGACAAACGTCAAGCTGGAGGCTTTTCATCAGCTGCAGGGGATAATGAACCCAAGATCAGCAGGCAGTATGGCAGGATCCAGATCCAAAAGACATCCCAGAATTTCCCCCAGGATATCCATATGTATACTGAAAGCAAGCCACATCCCTGAGGAAACTCCCTTTCAACTGATTGGCTGCTCAAAGCATATCCCACCATGGAGTGAGTACCTTACATCAGATCTCATCACGGAAATGACCACACCACAGCTATTTAAGCCAGTTAGAATCATGGGCTGGCCAAGATGACACATAACCTTAACTATCACAGCACCTAACAACAACACTTATGAGCCACAGGTCAGCTGGGGCTCAGCCCCAGATGGTAGGGCCAGGTTGATGGAGAACTGTCCTCTGTCAGACAGAAGCCAAATTGAGAGCAGAAATCCAAATACCTCCTAAAGCCACTGGGAGGTGGTGTCAGCCCCACCTGCTACCCACACCCAGGTCAGCTCAGCAGCAAGGATGTCAGCTCCTCCCTCAAGACTCAAAAAACCTGTGTGGCAGGAAGCAGGCATGACACTCCTCACATAGGAGAAGGGGGAAGATTTGTGAACAGTAACACCATGAACCATACATGCCAGGTGTCCCTGATGCTTGCCAGCCCAGCAGAGCTCTGGGCCCCTGGCCCTCAGCTGTCCCTCAGGAACCCTGGGTCTTGGCAGAATAGTCTGCAGACCAGAGGATGATGAGTGTGGTTCAGCCCTTCCATTTCTAAACTCCTTGTTGCCAACCTCAAAGGGAAGGCTTTGTCATGGCAATCTTGCTGACATTTCTGTGTATAAGGAAATGTAGTTTTTACATGTCTGAATTACCATATTCTCATAGTGTCTAAGGGTTCTCTAGGGAAACAGAACCAGTAATATATATATAAAATAGACCCAACAGAAGGCTTGAACCTCAAACCAACCAATGATCATGAAGATGGTGCAGGAAAGGACATCGTTTCATTCTTTTACACCTAAGGTTGCCATGAGTTGGAGCTGAATCAAGGGCAATAAACAACAAAGTATATGTATGTATACTCAAAAAAAAAAAAGAAAAACTCACTGCCATTATGTCAATTGTGACCCTCCCAGGGTTTCTGAGGCAGTAAATCTTTATGGAAGTAGATGCCCAGTCTTCCTTCCAAGGAGTGGCTGGTGGGTTTGAACCACCAGCCTTCTGGTTAGCTGTCAAATGCCTTAGGCACTGCGCCACCAGAGCTCCTATATATTGAATATATATGGGTGTGTGTGGGTGTGGGTGTGGGTGTGGGTGTGGGTGTGGGTGTATGTGGAGAGAGAGAGAGCGAAAGAGAATATTTTAAGGAGACTTTTTAAAGATTATTGTAAGGATTCCTGCAATTGTGAGGGGCTGACAAGTTCAAAAATTGTGGATCTTGTGATAGGCTGGAGACTCCTGCAGGCTAGTGTCCCAATCCATAGGTCAGGGGATGTGAAAAGTGAGCAGATTCTGGCACCATGTCTATGTATAATCTTGAGGCAGAACACATCTTCAACTGATTGAATAAGGGTCACCCACATTACTTTCAATTACAGTCAATTGAGTCCCTGAGTGGTGCAAAAGTTTAAGTGTTCAGCTACAGACCAAAATGTTGAAGGTTTGAGTCCACCAGGGAAGCCTTGCAAAAAAGGCCTGGCAGTCTACTTCTGAAAAATCAGCCATTGAAAACACTATGGAGTTCTAGTCTGTAATACCTGTAATACCTGTAATACATGTAATATCATGAGTCATGATGACTCAGCAGCAGCTATTTTTGTTTTGTTTTGTTTTGTTTTTTAACTAACTTCAAAACAGAATAGACTGGTGTTTGACCAAAAAACATAGCCTACCAAGCTGACTCATAAAATTAACCATCACACATGGGATTGTTGATATAATTTATTCTGGCAGACTTCCAGGAAGATGAAGGAATAGACAGACAAGCGACACAGGTCCTCTTCAACAAAGAAAAGAAAAACCAATTGACAGAGATACAGAAGATAATCCTGGAGCCCTGAGCTTTGAAAGGAACTATGCAGAAGTGGATTAGGCACCAACTAGTGGAAAAACCTGACTGAAAACAGTGAGTACAGAGATGGTCGGAGCTGCGGACTGTCAGCTACTCTGACGGGACCAACAGCCTGAATATTTCCAAGTGGTGTTAGGACCTAAGAATTGACCTAAAGATCAACCCTGGTCACCAAGGGCTGCAGGGATGATTGCACTGGTGGCCTATGACTAGGAAGGGAAACAGCAATGTGGGAGACAACCTGAGCTGTTGACTTTCCACTGTCCAGAGGGCACAGCCATTTTGTATCTTTACAAGGGCAACCATTTTGCATTTTAAAGTGATAGCATTCTCATTCAGATTCCACGGACCTAAGAATGGGCTCTGTTTGCCAAGGTCAGCA